GACACACAATGACTTTGGAATCATATGTCAAAAGGGAACACTATTGTGTTAACTTAATGGAAAACAAATGCTCAACATTTGAATGGCTATTAGGACAGAAAAACTAAGTATATGTTATGAATTATACTAGGATATCGACACGTATCACTTTTGTCACTTTCTTTAGTTATCTCCATGAGTATAAATACTTGACAAGTTGACATGAATTCACAACAACCATGTTACTGCCTGAGAAAGTGGCTCAATTGACAAGATATCATCATAATGAGGATGCGAAAATTCAGTTACATTTGATGGCCTTTTCTAATAAAAGCTAGGCATCTTTAATTTTCTTCCTTAATAATTCTTAAGGAATTTAATTGGTAGCATTATAGTGGGAAACTTTTGTTGGCTCAATATTAGAATCTAATAGAAGTTTCAAAAATAGAAACTCTTACCGCTAGAGAGAGGAATAAGTTGAATCAAATGAAATTTTATAAGGTTTAAATTTTTATTTATATTTTAAATTTAAAGTTTAGACCAAATGAAACAAGGGGGGATGTCCATATATCTTTCTAAAGTAATTTTACAGATCCCTACATGTTCTTCAGTACAAACTTCATTTGAATCTAAAATAACAATAAAGCTCACATTTTTCTTCTATTCGGCATACCTTGGAAAAATATAGAAATTAGCATCACCCTCGTAAAACTATTGTAATTAGAATTTATACCATTGAATGCTATAATTTAAACTACCTTGAACAACATACAACATATAACATATATAAATAAAAAATAAATCATCAACAACATATAATTTTTATCAACAACAACAACATAGCTTAAACAACATACAATATATATCAACAAAAACTATATCATAAACAACATGTAACTTTTATCAACAACAACAAACCTTAAACAACATACAACATATAACAACAAAAGTAAAATCAACGACAAAATAAAATATGGAAAAATCTCATGTACTTGAAATATGAAGATGAAAGGGGATAAAAGAGTTTTGTGTAACACTTTTCTTTGATCATTTTCTTGATCTATAAGAGATGAAAAATATATGTTAGAGTTTTGTGAAGAAGTGATATTGACCATTCATGGTATAATGAAAAGGCATGGGAAAGTGTTAGGGTTTCGTCTTGAGAGAGATAGTTGTTATGTCCTGAAAGAGCGATCTTTCTCTTAAATATATGCTAAAATTTTAACCACAGTTACTTAAATCGACCGTGATAAAATGTAGGTATTTTTCACAACGGTTGATACTTTAGATCGTGGTGAAAGATATTTAATTTTTAATAAAATATTAATATTATAAGTGATACACCCATATTGTAAACGAAAAAAAGAAAATTGTTTGTACTGGGAATCAAAGCCGGTAAGCCTTAAGACATCATTAGAATTTTTAACATGGACCATAGTGAAATTTTTTTTTAGTAAAAGAAATAAAAAATCAGGTGTTTGAATAAGAGATATTACATCAGTTGGTTTAATATATGCGATAATAGCATGTTATGTTAGGTGTATTTTGTAGTAGTGATTGTTTCTTAAATCCATTGAAAATTAACTTTCAAGATATGGTAGCAAACACTATCAAGATGTACAAACAAAATAAGTTGGTTAATGATAATAAATAATGTTACATGGAACCGTTTTACCATGTATAAGTATATATTAATTTGTGTTTTCATTTATAAATAAATTTTATACACATTATTAATGATTCTGAATGTTGATGCAGTTCACATTGACAACTAGTTATCATATGTCAAAAGTAAAATATTATAGTTATGTTATACTCGTTACAGTATAAACTTAATGAAGATATAGATAATGTTTTGAGGGATAAGTGGTATTATTTGTAATAATACTCAAATTTAACTTTAGTTTTGAATAATATTTATTAATGTTTAATTTTTACCTACATATAATGCTATGGAGGGATACAATTTTATAGAACATAATCAAGTTGGTAAAAAGTCAAGGTTCATTTGTCCAAAAGTATTACTTGTACTTTTGACATTCATTTATTTTCACTAATGTATTACATGAACTTTATATATATTAATTAACTATACAAAAATTATTTGTATTCGCGAAAAAAGTCTGACAATTTTCTTTGTGGGTACTATATTATGAGACACTTGTGGTTACTATATTATGAGACATATGTTAAATATTGTCTCTGGAGGCATTAACAATTCATGGCTTATGATATTAACTTTATCCATATACATGTAAGTTTTTTTATATTTGTTAAATTACTGTTGTTGTTGTTACCTTATCATAATTTAAATTTTGCTCAAATTATAGGAGTTTAGCAACGAAGCACCATTCTCATGAGAGGATATAGATGACATCCGATCATATTGTGTTAGTGTCTTCATATCTTATTATGAATCTCAACAACACTATTTTTCTTCGTTGTTGTAAGGATTGTATACAAGTGTTGTCATTATAGGTTCAAATATGTATAGGTTCTCTTGGTAGAAGTTTTGTGTATCTCAAATTTCATTATAGGTATTGTAAGTATTGTACATTTGATTTTGTAAACAATATAAATTTAGTATTCTATGTTTATGTTTTGTGTTAATGATCTGATTCTATCACATATTTTATAACTTATGTGTAAAAATATTTTGTACAGGTCATTCAAAATGAAATTTAAAACAAATTATAAATGACAAAAAATAGGTTATACTCCTCAGTTATTATATCCAACCAACGTAAATATGTGACGCGCTTCATAGTTTTGGAAAAAAAAATTCATGTTGTCGGGGACCAAGCTAATGACAATTTCAATTATCCCCTCGGTTTTTAGAAACTTAAGGGTAAGGTGAAAGGTTTTTATGTCGTCCTTCGTTACATTGCTTATATAACCCGTGTTAAAATCTCCGACATGTTTGAAATAAAATCAATTTTTTGTAGTAGTGATCGCACACCACTTTAAGTTTATGTGGCTACTAAACAAATCTCTCAAATGACTCCACAACGATTACTTCTTTCTAACATCACAAGGAGTATACTTATTTACCACATAACAAGACTCAAATTTCTTCTTAGATTTTCCACAAATGATTAGAGTGTGATTGATATCAAAGACTATTCAACCTCATATTTATCACAATCCTATGTTGTAGAGATATCTTCTAAAAAAAACAACCGATGGATAAAAAAGAGAATCTCACCCCGTCAAACCCCACATAACGCAAAGAAACGTATTCACCACTTCTAATGTTATTTACTTAATACATAAATACTCGAAGTTTCTTCTTTTTAATCGAGAATTTGATTTCTCTCATTTTAACTTTCCCCTTAATCCTATGACATTATAACATAAATTCTTCATAATTAAAAAAAAAAATCACCCAACAATGCACCATAACATAGCCAATCTACACCTAGCCATATCTCCCCTTCCCTCTAAGTCTTTACTCTTTCTATATCTTTTAAAATCAGTTGAATTAACTTTTGCACAGTGATAATATTGTCATCTTTTAAAATTCACACATTGATATTCTCATCAAATTTCTATAAATCTTCTACCGCTCTATTATTACCCTCGATGAAATTTCACCAAAATTGTTGTTTGATGAGTGTGTGGACGAGTTTCCTTATTGAGTTATATTTAAAAAAATTTAAAATTGATCTCTAAATCGAGTTAAAATATGATTACATGCATTATTTAGAAAATAATCGGATCAAGATATGGTTTATATATCCTACTCATTTTGGTCATTTGTTTAATAGGTTAATCTATTATGTTCATAAATATTTTGCCTTAAAAAATGTTTTAAATAAGTGATGCTACACTCATAGTAGTTTGTAAATCAGGAAAACCTCTGCTTTACAATGACTTCTTTTGGTCGTATATAATGAGGCAAATGGGGGGAGTAGGTGTCCGTTTCAAATAGAATCTTAACTTTCCCTTTTTATGGATTGAGTTGAATAACTATATCTACATTATCATTCTTTAGTTGATTCCTCCAAATAGAAGCTTCACAAATATTTTCCGTTTTAAATATTTGTATTTTAATGTATTCTCTAACCTTTATTCTTTTATGTAATGAAATTTATATAGATTCCATATTTCCATATTTTAAAAATGAATTCCACAATGAAAAAACTTGCATAGATTTCACACATAATAAAAAAGTACCGTTAAAAGAAATATTAAAAAAATTAAATATTCTTAGTACTTCTATTTCTCCAAATTATAAACTAAAATATTTTACAAATTAAAAAACTTATAATTATCACATTTAATCTAGATAGTTCTAATAAAAAGGTCAATATATTTCTTAAATTATCTACAATGATTAATAACTTTAAAAATAAATTAATTGAGTTAAATAAAAATAAATTATTAAATTAAGGTTCGATCTTGATAATTTTTTTTAATATTCATAAATTTATAATTTTTACAAAAATTAATAATAAAAAACTACTATAATTTTTAAATGAAGAATAATTTAGAGATATTTTTATTAAATATGAGAGATGTTATAGAATAAAATTATCTCCGAACAAAACTTTTTTGTTTTGGAATTAAAAAAAGTGAATATATTCGATTTAACAATATCATCGTCAATCGAATTAGGTCTTATAAACAATTTTTGTTTATATATAATTTTAAGAATTATAATTTAAAATAATGAGTTATTTTTACTTGTATTTCATTGGTGAAAAAAGTATATATATATATATATATATATATATATATATATATATATATATATATATATATATATATATATATATATATATATATATATATATATATATATATATATATATATATATATATATATATATATATATATATATATATATATATATATATATATATATATATATATATATATATATATATATATATATATATATATATATATATATATATATATATATATATATATATATATATATATATATATATATATATATATATAATGAGTGAAGAGAAAGCATTATAGTAGAAACATAGAAAGAGAGAGAAGGAAAATGGGAAGAGGGAGAGTAGTTTTGGAGAGAATAGAAAATAAGATCAACAGGCAAGTAACATTCTCAAAGAGAAGAAGTGGATTATTGAAGAAAGCTTTTGAGCTTTGTTTGCTATGTGATGCTGAAGTAGCACTTATCATCTTTTCAAGTCGTGGCAAGCTTTTCCAATACAGTAGCACTGAGTATTTCTTTTCCTCTTTCCTTTTTTTTATAATTAATTTTTCTCTTTCGAAGTCAAAGAACTCATATCTTCTATTATTATTGTTTTCTGATGCAAATTTTATTTTGTTGCATCATAAAACAACAATAAAGATCAAATTTGTGAAAGTTCTATACGGAAGTTATGAGTGGTCAAGATGATCTTTGATTAATTTTAGAGTTGGTTTATTAATAGATCCAATTGAAATTCTGGAATTCTTTTCGGAATTTTTGCATATTGAAAATAAAATTTATTATTTTAAATTATTAAATAATTCAAAAATCCAAACTTATAAAATCATCATTTTTATAAAAAATGTTATTTAATGAATATTACAGTTTATCATTTTATTTATAAAGCATTGTCCTAATTATTATTAGTTAATTAATTGTAATGTTTTTATTTTTTAAATGTGATCAGTGTTAACAAAATCATTGAAAGGTATCGCCAATGTCGTTACAACAAGTCACAAGCTGGAATTTCGTATGGCCATAATGAATCACAGGTTTTACCTTTCTCATTTAACTTAAAATTTATATAATGAAAAAAAGTCTAAGAAGAAACTAAAGCTTTTTAACTGCAATGTTCAAAATTATGATAATTATTTCAATTAATTTATTGTGACTTGCAGCATATGTACCAGGATTACTTGAAATTAAAGGCAAAATATGAATCTCTTAACCTAAAACAAAGGTAGGTATTCAAAAATAATAATAATCAGGAAATTTATTGTTAGCTTCGAATTAAAATTTAATATCACTATTTTAGCAAAATATATAGGAAACTCAATGTTTAATTTAATTATAACCTATGTGAAAAGGAACAAGTTAGAATTGTTTGTATTTGTTATTTGAAGGCATTTTAATGGTGAAGAACTTGAGGAACTAAACATGAAAGAATTGCAGAGCCTCGAGGAACGACTAGACTTAACTCTCACACAAGCTAGACAGCAACAAGTATAAACACTGAAACAATTAAATGCATTAATTTATCTTTCTCTTAGATTACTAAATAATATCATAACAATAGTGGAGAGAAAAGTGAATATAATCCATTTCATGTGATTGCTAATAACATGTTTTTATTGCAGATGAAAAAACTCTTGGCACGAGCTGAGGAATTACGTGAAAAGGTATGAAAGGAGTTTCTCCATCCACCATTCAAAATATCGTGATTTTTTTAAAGAGGACCTAAAGGTTAAGGAAATTTTACTTCATAAAAAATATTTATTTAATTATTTTAAAAATTAAAATTAAATTTTTTTTATTCAATTAATATTATCTCAACAGAAGTTAACTTTATTATCAATTATAAATTGGTTCACTTATTTTTTATTGCTTTTAAATTTCAACACAATAATATGCTTCTATTTGAATTGATTACTCATAATGACAATATAAATTCATTTGACAGGTGCATAACTTGGAGGAGCTTAACAAAACATTGGAGCCCAAGGTTCTTACTTAAAAGTTCATGTCCATAGTTAAGAATACAATAAAATGTTTGAATACTACTTTAAATATCTCAAGGCTTTTCATCCATTTAGATTTTGCTCTTTCTAAGATCTAAAATATTCATTTGAAGAAGAAAAAAACTCGGTATCTGAACATACGATCGATTAATCATAAATTTAATTTCACTGTTATATCTATTTAAAATCCGAACAAATCTCTGTATAAATTTTGTTAATATAAAAATTATTAGTTTTAAAGAATTTGAATTTAGAATTTTGAGATTCAAATGTTGGGATCTCTAATAATAATCGATATTTATTAATACATTCATACTCGAATTCAAGATAAAATAGAAAGGATACATTTAGGATCTATGAAATACTAATGAGAAGACACTAATTGATAGGACAATGACTTTTCAATTGTAAATTTTTAATTAGTTAGTTTCTCTTCCATGTGATAAAGAGAATAAATATTCTATAATATTTTATATTGTCAACCATTGAGAATCATAACTCCTTAATTATAAGAACCTCGTGCTCTTTCATAGAAAGTCATGTTTCTTCAAGTTTATAATTTCATGCTCTCCTATGAAAGGTCATGATTATTCAAGTTTTCTTATTTCAATTTTAACGTACTAGAAATAAGACTTTTGGTATCTACGCAATAATTTTCATAAAAATTATATCCTTAACCATAAATCTATTATTAAATAAATCAATTTAATTTGGCTAATTAAATAATGATCCTAACACATTAATTTATTACATGTATGACCCAAAAAATTCTTACAATTTCTCACTGATCATATATGTATCATAATAAATATGTTAGACTTTATGAGCTCAAAAATTTTCATTATAAACATTGGACATATCCCCCATCTCGTCCATTAGTTACATCAATATATAAGACTAAAGCGGTTTTCATTATATTAATCATAATTAAACCCATCAATGATAACAAATATAGACACAATTAAGTGACATAAATTAATCATGAAATGCGTAGCATGAAAATCACATGAAGGTGATCAATACATGTCAATTTTCAACTGATCCTCCTTACTTTAATAAAATTAATATTACCATACAAAGTGCAATGAAACGAATAACCAAACTTTATTTCTGATAAGAACGTACTATAAATATATATAGTATGTATATATACTATCAAATATAGAATGACTTGTAATAATGATTAACTCCCACTAATTCAGAGATTCTCCAAATTGTATAACTCATATGTGAGTAATATGCTGGTAATAATGATTAACTCCCACTCTTAAAGCTGACGCACAAATATCTCTAAAAAATTAACTAATTTCAGTGAGTGGATTAAGCACATGTTTGGGTAGAGAACCAAACGCAATTGGTAGCAATTGTTCCATAAAAACATGGCAATCATGACTTTTCATACCATGCAACTTCCCAGTGTTAGCATCGACACACCTTGCTAAATTTGAAGAATACCCGTCGGGTATTCTCAAACCTTTTAGCCATCCACAAACCGCTTTAGCTTGTTGGGGGGTCAGACTGAAACAAGCTTTGGGTTTAAATAATTTTCCATTTAGTTGAGGCTTCAATTCCAACTCTTTACGATTACACCAAATTTCCATGTCTTGTCTAGCCTTCACGTTATCTTTTGTTATGTCTTTAACATCCATCACTTGTTAAATACGTTATCAAAAAATTCTTCTCAATATGCATAACATCAAGATTATGGTGCAACAAATTATCTTTCCAATACGGGAGGTCCCAAAATATACTTCTTTTTGTCCAATTATGTGTGACCCTATATCCTTCAATTCTACATGCTTTGCCAGTATCTGTAAACATTGGAAGTTCACAAACTTGGTTCCATATAGCAACTGGTGACAATCAAGGTGGAGGCGGATATGTTACCCGTTCGTCCTTTTTGAAATTTGTCTTGTTTTTTCTAAAGGGATGATTTGATGGTAGGAATCTGCGGTGACAGTCAAACCACGAGCTTTTCCCCCCTTTATCCAATGTAAACGCCTTAGTGCATTCCATGCAATGCGGACGACCCATTCTGCCATGCGTACCCCAACCAGACAACATGCCATATGTTGGAAAGTCGTTAATGGTCCACATCAAGGCAACTCGCATATAAATGTTTTGTTTACGGGATATATCATAAGTTCATTCTCCATTATTCCACAACCTCTTCAAATCATCAATTAAAGGTTGTAAGTACACATCAATTCCAGTTTTTGGACTCGACGGTCCTGGAATGATGACGTCAAAAACATGTATGGTTTTGTCATGCACATCTCAGGAGGGAGATTGTAAGGGGTTACAATAACTGGCCAACAAGAATACGCACTTCCAAACGCTTGGACATGTGGAGCAAAACCATCATAGCATAATCCAAGCCTGACATTTCTAGGTTCCGCGGAAAAAATCAAGATGTACCTCATTAAAGTGCTTCCATGCATGGCCGTCAGATGGGTGTCGCATATTGCCTGGGTTTGTTTTGTTTGTATGATGCCATGTCATTTGACTTGCACTGTGCATTGAAGAAAACATCATTTTTAACCTTGATATTATTGAAAGATAAAACATGGACTTTACTGCTACACGTTTTTGCTTACTGTTAATGGCTCTATTGCGAATTTTATATCTTGGACTCTGACAAAACTTACATTCCTCCGACGATCCATCTTGAGTACCAAACTCGTTGTCATAAAACAACATGCAACCATTAATGTAACAATCAATCTTTCTTACTCTTAAACCCAATTTCGACACCAACTTCTTTGTATCATAGAAACTCGCAGGTAAGTTGTCTTTCGTTGCAGTTGAGTCCAACATCATTTTTGTGAAGTGCTCCAAACACTGATCAGGAACATTCCAATTTGACTTGGCGGCCAATAATCTCACACACATTAATAGCTTTGAGTCTGACGACCCCCTCAAACAAGGCGTATTCATCTCATTCAATAACTAATAAAATCTCTGCGCTTCCTCATTCAGCAACTCTTCCCCGTCAAAATCTTCTGGTTGATCATAGGTCACGTTAACACCAAAAGCATCATCAACCATGTCAGCTATCAGATTAAAGTTTTCCTCAAATTCCATAGGCGGTTGCATAGCCGGTCGACTACTTGAAGCATCTGTGTTGCTAGTCTCTGGTACATTACTCGGCAGTGTTTCACCATTATACGTCCAAACCCAATAATTTTCAATGAAACATTTTCTATGCAAATGACGTGTTATTTCCTCTGGGTCACTAATTATATATCTACATCCACATTTAAGACAAGGACACCTAACTCCTCCTTCACTTCGACAACGTTTCTGAGCAAATGTCCACGTGATAAAACCATTAACTACGTCATAAAATTGGGTTTTAAGTGCGCGTCTTCCTGGATATAGTCTATCGTACATCCAACTACGATAATACCTATAATATTCTATTTACTGCAAATTTATATAATCAAAACCTTTTTAATTAGAAATATTAATTAATCAACTTAATAATAATCCTAAACATATTGTTCTTGTTCTTATTACTACTAAAAATATACTATGTATATATACTATTAAACATAAACATATGCTTTTATTTTAACTATTTTTAATATATAATGTTTTTTATTATATACTATTAAATATACTATTAATATAGTTTATTAAATATATAATAATTAATATAATATTTTTATTGACCTATAATATAGTTTTTATAAAAAAAATTTAATTATAAAACCATTTTTATTAACATACATATAATATATAATAATTAAATACATAAACCAGTTTTTTATATATAATGTTTTTATAACATACTATATATAATATTTTATTGACATGTAATGTTTTTTAACATACGATATTAATGTTTTATTGACATATAATATAATTTTTATATAATATTTTTTAATTATAAAACCATTTTTTATTAACATATAATACAATTTTTATATAATATTTTTAATTATAAAACAAATATATATATATATATATATATATATATATATATATATATATATATATATATATATATATATATATATATATATATATATATATATTATATATATATATATATATATATATAATATATATATATATATATATATAAATATATATATATATATATATATATATATATATATATAATATATATATATATATATATATATATATATATATATAATATATATATATATATATATATATATATATATATATATATATATATATATATATATATATATATATATATATATATATTAACCTATAATACAGTTTTTATATAATTTTTTAAAAATTATAAAACCATTTTTATTAACATTCTACATAAAATATATTAACATCAAATATATACTGTTTTTTATAATATTATACTATTTTTTTATAATATTACATTGTTTTTTATATATGCATAATTATAAAAGAGTTTTAAAATAATAACATTAAATGTATATTTTTTAATTATAAAACAGATTTTATAATAATAACATTAAACAGTTTTTACTAAATATATACATATTAAAACAGTTTTTTAAATATGGTTTTATTCAATATAAAAAACTATTTTTTTTTATATATGTTTTTAATCAATACATAAAATATTATATTATATTTGTTTTAAATAAAATATATATTAACATTAAAACTGTTTTTATAAAATTTATATATTATTCTGTTTTTTGTTTTGTTTTTTATAATAAATAAATTAAATAAATCAAGATATATAACTTATCATAATATATATTTTTGTTTATTAATAAATATTTATTTATATATATTTTCGTTTTTTAACAAGAAGTACCTATATAATATATATTCTCATTTTTTAAAATTATATTTAATGAAAATTACAATATTATAATTTAACCAAATTCAACCTAAAATCTAACTAAATTCAGAAAATATACCAAATGTAAAAAAAATTTCCAAGAAATACCTCTTCTCTTCTAACTCCTTCAATCTTCTTGTCCAACCTTTTTGCAATCTACTTCTACTATATCAATCTTCTTCTATTCAAAGAAAAATTAAAATAAATTACAATCCCATAATACAATAAATAAAAACTTGTAACAAAAATAGAGACAAAATTAAATTAAATTAACCTGAAAAAACAAGGATTAATGGAGATTGAAGTTGAATTTTATGAAAAAGAAGAGGTTTTATAATGGAGATTGAGTTGGATTTTATGAAGAAGAAGAGGGTTAATGGAGATTGGGATGAAATGAGAGAGAGAGAGAGAGAGAGAGAGAGAGAGAGAGTTGTGTTTGTTGAAAATGAAATACTGTCTGCTTGGTGTAACGTGATTTAATTAAACATATAAACCATTCAGCGACGTGAAAATCACGCCACAACTTTGCCACGTGACTTTCACGCCGCAACAATGCCAACAGTCATATTCTCTTTCTTCACATGCCTGCAAAAGCTGATCATGTCAGTCTGAATTAATTTGTTTTTCCCTTTTAAATGTTGCGACGTGAATACCACGTCACAACTGATTTTTTCAAAATTTCAAAAATCCCTCCATCTGAACGTTAGACCAATTAAAATATTTTATATTATATTTTTACTAGCGACGTGATTCTCACGTCGCAACATATATTTTTTTAAAAACTCAGACAACCATCTTGCTTCTTTATTTTATTAATAAAACATGTTGGCACGTGATTATCACGTTACAACTGGCTTTTTTTTAGCCACATGATAATCACGTGGCAAAAACACGTGACTGAAGATGATATTTCTTGTAGTGCATAAATTAATCATGAAATGCATAGCATGAAAATCACATGAAGGTGATCAATACATTTCAATTTTCAACTGGTCCTCCTTACTTTAATAAAATTAATATTATCATACAAAGTGCAATGAAACGAATAACCAAACTTTATTTCTGATAAGAACGTACTATAAATATATTAGTATGTATATATACTATCAAATATAGAACATGACTGGTAATAATGATTAACTCTCACTAATTCAGAGATTCCCCAAATTGTATAACTCATATGTGAGTAATATGCTCGTGAAATACTTTAGGTAGAAGCGCTTTTGTCATAAGGTCTGCTAGCATGGAGTTTGTCCATAAATGCTCTATGAAATCTATCCATTTTGTACTCTCTCTTTCACAACCAGGTCCTACTTATTATAATTTTTCCTTTTCTCAAGTAGTGGGGTCTGTAGGAGAAAGAGACGGTTACATCCTCAATGCAAGGTCAAAATCTATGCAACCAAGAACAATTAAAATGTTCTCTTTCTAATCCTTAAAATTTGCACAATTAAGAATCGGAACTGGTGATTTGAAATCAATCATAAATAAACACAAATAATAAATGTTCAAATAATGTTATCTCAAGATATATAGTGCACCATTAATATCAAGTCTTTGGATAATAATATTAATTGCTAGTGATACTCTTGTTGTAATGATCAAATATTGACAATAATATATATCAAATAATTAAACTATCTTTAGGTTGATTTATTATTCATATCTGAAAACCATATAATCATCACATATTTATTATTACATGTCTATATATAAATTTTGTCAAATATTAATATTTTCTTTAGAAAAATTAATATTTACATATATAAACATATATACTAACATTCAATATTTTTTATGATCAAATCAATATTTTTTAATTTAAAATTATAATCAATTTAATTAATTTAATTTTCAAAACTGAGATATATTTATACCCTATATTAATTTTCATTAATAATATAGGTAGAATTGTGTTGCATATGTATCTATCACAAATTCTCATCCATATGTAACAAGAATTTGTCACACTAACCAAAGAAAAAATAAAGAAACATCACTTTATAAAAGCCGTCGTGTTTCTTATATTTACCAAGGATTACATGTTAATTTAAGAGTGAGAGTGTATATGCAATATAAAATATATTCTTCTAATGCAATAATAACTGAACACCATTATTGATATTCTTTATTTCATACACAAGAATTAAAGTTACTGTTTTGAAAAATAATTTCAAAATAATAATAATATTAATAATAATTACTCCAACCCAAACACTTCCTTAACAAATAGAACGTTGAAATTAAAAATAAATAAAAAAGCCATGGAGTCAAACCATAGTTCATAGATAATAAATAATAGTATAATAATCCATATCATTCACTTAAAAAGATTCATTCACTTAAAAAGAAAACGAAACTGTGTTATCCATGTACACTTTCATGATTGCATGTAGTATTATATATAATAATTATCAATATAATCATTTATATAAAAAAGAAATTTGTGTGATTATAATTTCCAATAACTCAATTTTGAAATATTAACAATAAATAATAAAATTCATATATGAATTAAGTATGGTGGACTCTGATATCATTGTTGGAATCTCTAATAATAATTAATATTTATTAATGTATCTATATTCAAATTTAAGATGAAATAGAAAGCGGAGGCATACTTTTAAGATCTAAGAAATACTAATTAGAACAATAATTTCATAGGATAATAAGCTTTCAATTGAAATTTTTTAATTTCTTAGTTTCTCTTCTAATGAGATAAAGAGAATAAATATTATATGATATTTTTTAGTGTCTATAATTGAAGATTATAACCTTTTATTTATAAAAACTTCATACTATTTCATGGAGCGTCATGTTTGTTTAAATTTAGAATGTCCTACCTTTTTATAAGGAGTTGTGATTATCTAAATTTTCTTATTTCAATTTTACCTATCACATACTTAAAATAAGATTTTTGGTAATTTTCATGAAAATTATATCTTTAATTATAAACTTTATATTAAATAAATTACTTTAATTTAACTAATTAAATAATAGTCCTAACATATTAATTTATTACACGTATGATTCAAAAAATTCTTACATAATACACTATTGAATTTCTAACTTTCACAATTAAAATATCCCTTTTACCCAATTAATTATATATTTTTGATCCAATACAAAAATACAAGACCTTATACATCCTTGCGTTTTCTATATTTATTTTGCAGATAATAGATGAACTCTCAAACCAATTGCACGCAATACAAGCCAATCATTTTGAATAAGGGAACTTTAAAACATGTATGTTATGTTTCTTTTAGCCCTTTTATTTTTATGCGTTCAACTAAGTTTGAGTTTACTCTCTTTATTTAACTTCTATTTAATATTTATTTGTAAAATAAATAGATTCAATTTAATAAAAATATTTTATTGCAGTTGGTTTCTACACCATGAGGCTTCTTCAAAGGAAAAGGGCTATCCTGGCAATCATATTTCAGAGCAACAAAATACTAGTGGACTGTTTCAATGAACATTCACTTATGTATTTCAAATACATCTCACAAATAGTTTTTATATAGCATATATATTTCTCCTAAGCAACATCTTTAATATATGGTTATAGTTATTTTTATTAGTCAAATAAATAATAATAAAGTAATATTGAATATTTTTGTCATCATATAATTTAGTTGTTAAACTAACATCTTAAGTGTAGAGAAGTGATCTGGAATCTCAAATTCAAACTATTATATTATTAGTCCAGATTGTGTTTAGATTAACGGTGAAGAAAATTGATTTTTGATAAAATTGAATTTGATAAAATTGATTTTAACATGATTGAGTTTAATAAAATAGATTTATATTTAGATATATTTATGTAAAAATGAATTGAACAATAAATTTTAATGTAAAAATCACATTTAAACTCTAAAACTATAAATTTTATCTTCAAATAAAATCAATTCTGTTTTAAAAAATTCAAACACGTCAAAATCACTGCATAATTAATTCTATACTTCTAAAATTGTTTTTGACTCTTTCAAAAACCACACCACTGCATGATATACAAGTATCAATTGAATTATATTTACTACATGAGTAAGGCAAATGATTATACTACCATTCTTAAGTTACTTTAACAACATTTGTTTTTGAGAAAACTATTTCTACTCCACTTTAACTTGTGTTCTTCACTAATGTGATATCCTAAGCTTTTAAGTTTCTATTTAAGTGAACAAATATATACATGTCCTTAAAAATTCATTCATATGAACATAAAATTGACAACAATAGAAATAATTATTTAATTAAAAAAAATCATCAAAATCAATATGAATTAAATCCTTAATTTAGTACCTGTCAGCTAACATAAGAATGGGACAATAACTTACCATAATACTTATGAGTAAAGTGACTTTGGATACAAATTTACACTCAATAATGACTAAAAACTCAAACTGAAACATTCTTCTTCTTTAGGTCAGTGTAAAATCTTCAACTCCTTTTACTTAGTTCTCTATTACTAATTACAAAAGCAAACATATATGGAAATAACTATGGGATCTTAAAAAGCATGCACATAAGTTTAACCAGTTATCTATATCAAGTACATAATGCCTCTTATACAAAATCACACTAAACGCATGCATGACATATCAATTGGGCCGGTTTTGAATTTACAGCAGCTGTTGGAAGTGGTTAAGCCGGTTCCAACTAAACCTGATTCTTTCATTTGGTGGAGAGACGTAGACGATTACTCGGTCAAGGCTAGCTATCGAAAGATTCATTCTGTTATCGATTCGGAGCAGGTGGTTCATCCCGTTTTAAAAACTGATTTGTCTTCTTTATAGAAAACCAAGGTTTCAAGCAAGGTATTGATTTTTGGATGGAGACTTTTATTGAATAGATTATCTATCCAAGTGTGGAATTGTAGAAGGGGATCACAATTTGGTGTGTCTTCTGTGTTTTCTTCACATGAAGGATGTCCACCATTTTTTCTTGACTTGCAAGGCGAGTAATCGAATGTGGACATTGTAATTTAAATCCCTAAACAAAATAATAGAATAATTCAAAGATGTTTCACATAATTACATTAGGTGTTACACATTCTCAAACAATCATTTGTTTTGTAACACTTAGAAGTTTAAAGCAAAATATTCAACATCTATCATCGCATGCTCACATTCACTTAGGGAATCATTGCAACAGTATTTCATCAACTAAGTATGCTTTATAATAAAAATAATTTCATGAAACATGATCGGTCACCATTTCTACTTCACTTTCATCACTTATTCGATACAAAAATATCAAATATGTAACACTTTGATTTGTCTTTTTATCGTTTTGTTTAAGTTATTTTATATTTTGAAAAGTTATCTTTGTATGGTTTTTATTTGAATTTTATTTCTTCTAGATGCTTTTGATGGTTTGGTTTGGTAGTTGTTGGTAATCTTAAATGCAAGTAAAGATCTCCGGAGAATTTGTACAAAGGCGGGGGAAATATGGAAGCTGCAGGGGCCCTGACACGGCCACCAGTGTCACCTGACATGGGCCGTGTCAGGAGAAGATGAGAACAAGGCTAGCTATCGAAAGATTCATTCTGTTATCGATTCGGAGCAGGTGGTTCATCCCGTTTTAAAAACTGATTTGTCTTCTTTATAGAAAACCAAGGTTTCAAGCAAGGTATTGATTTTTGGGTGGAGACTTTTATTGAATAGATTATCTATCCAAGTGTGGAATTGTAGACGGGGATCACAATTTGGTGTGTCTTCTGTGTTTTCTTCACATGGAGGATATCCACCATTTTTTCTTGACTTGCAAGGCGAGTAATCGAATGTGGACATTGTAATTTAAATCTCCACACGTAAAATAATAGAATAATTTAAAGATATTTTACATAATTACATTAGGTGTCACACATTCTCAAACAATCATCTATTTTGTAACACTTAGAAATCCAATATCTATCATCGCATGCTCACCTTCACTTAGTGTATCATCGCAGCGCTATTTCATCAATTAAGTATGCTTCATAATAAAAATAATTTTATGAAACATGATCGGTCACCATTTCTACTTCGTTTCCATCATTTATTCGATACAAAAATATCAAATATGTAACACTTTGGTTTGCCTTTTTATCGTTTTGTTTAAGTTATTTTATATTTTGAAAAGTTATCTTTGTATGGTTTTTATTTGGATTTTATGTCTTCTAGATGCTTTTGATGGTTTGGTTTGGTAGTTGTTGGTAATCTCAGGTGCAAGTAAAGATCTTCGGAGAATTTGTGCAAAGGCGAAGGAAATATAGAAGCTGCAGGGGCCCTACATGGCCGCCAGTGTCACCTAACACAGACCGTGTCAGGAGAAGATGAGAACAAAGGCGTTGAAACACCATACAAAAGGTGACACGGGCACCCGTATCACACGACATGGCCCGTGTCAATTCAGCTGAGAAAAAAGGATGCAAAAGACATCACAGACGCTGACACGGGTACCCGTGTCTGGTGACATAGCCTGTGTCAGCTTAGGCGCTATAAATTCTAATTCTTGAGATTTTTAAGTGTTTTGGAGTATTAAGGGTATTCTGGACATTTGGCATTGCTGAGAGATAACCTAATACTATAAAGACCTGATTGAGAAAAGGGAAAGGGATTTTTTTTGGACGATTGAAAGAATTAAGACGATAGAAGAGTTGAGATTCAAGAGCTGGGAAAATGGAGAATCCTTCATGCGCGACAGCAATTGAAGATCGACGAATCCATAATTCTTGTAATGTCTTACTCTATTATTTGTATTGTTTTTCTTTTGAATTTTATTAGAGGCTAAACCCTCCAATGCTAGGGGGTGTCCCTAATTTGTCATGATAAGAATACTGATCTCTTTGTTTTATTCATCACAATAGTTCTTTTGTATTAATTTTTTTGTTCAGAATAATTTATGGTTTTTCCTTATCGGACCAATAGGATTTCAATTTTCTTGACACAATAGAACTGGACAGTCGTGTTAGGGTTTTCTAAACAATAATATTATATAAGATTTCACCTAAGACTAGGGAAATCCTATAATAACTGGAACAATTTTTGATAATCAAATATTTGGCTTTATCACTAATTTGAATGGACATTGAAATTAGGGTAGAAGATCAAAGGTTTTTCACTAAGGACTTAGGGAAAGATATACTTGAGAACTGATAATTGAGTTGATGAATTTGTTGAAAAGATCAAAGAGTGAATGTTATCATATGGAAAATCATACACTCACCCCTAGCATATTTTAATTAAACAGTAAAAAGTCACATTTTACATTCTGTTCTTTTACACATTTGCAAAGATTTATCCAAACAAACTAAAGTGATAGTTTTTCTTCGACTGAATTAATAATATGACTCATTATTTTCTATGTAGTCCCTGTGATTGATATTTGGGGTAAAACTCATTATTACTACATCGGTGAAAATAGTACACTTGCTATTATTTTCGATTAAGTTTTTGGCGCTGTTGTCGGGGAATGCCAAGAGTTAATTGTAGTTCAATTGAAATTTTATTGCTCTCCAATTAAAATTTTATTTTTCTGTTATATATTTTTTATTATTTTATATTATTATTACTAATTTATATATAATCTTTTATGCGAGGTAAGGTCTCATCTGAATTTCCTTTTGACGCAGAGATTGAAAAGAATTTTTCACACAAGGCGAAGAGAAGTGAGATTAGCTAGACTGACATCCGAAGAAGAACTTACCTCAGATAATTTTGATTTTGATTAAGAACGCCATTCAGAGCATAAAGAGACAGATTCAGAGCCAGAAACCATGGGTAAAAATTTGCCACGACCTGAGAGACTCTTTGGTAATTATGGAGGGACTAATGCACTGGCTGGTAGATCGACAATTGTGAACCACTCGATGAATGTACCACACTTTCAGCTACATCTCAGTACTATAACTCAATTCGAGATGAGATCTTTTTCGGGAAGGGTAAATGAAGATGCTAACAAGGATTTGCAAATACTTTTAACCATGAGCACAACTTTGAAGATAGATGGTCATACCGAGGAACAAAAAAAGTTGAGAATGTTCCCTTTCACTTTAGCTGATGAAGCTGAAAACTGGTTCTTTTCTTTGCCAACTAATTGTATCACAACTTGGGAAGAGATGGAGACAACTTTTCTAAAGGAGTATTTTCTAGCCTTAATGTTCATACGAAAAAGGTATGAGATACTGAATTTAAAGAAGAAAGAGGGAGAATCATTGGGGGATGCCTATAAAAGTTTCAAAAGACTC